ATGTGATAAGGTCCATAGATTGAAAAGCAAGTAAGGGAAATGGATTTATTCACTGCCTTCCAGGGAGAAAGCTGTAGGCATGGAATATTCTGCCTGTTTCTGGTCTGTGTCACTTTTCTCACATAATTTCATTCTATTTCCAATCAATATGTATCTGTATTTCCCTCTACCAAAACCTCCCCACACCAAACAAACAAGCATTGCTGTTGCTGTGCCTTGAGTAATTTCCAACCTATGGCAACCCTAAGGTGAACTGATCACAAGGTTTTCTTATCTAGATTTGTTCAAAGAGGGTTTGCCATGGCCTTCCTGTGAGGCTGAGAAAATGTGATTAGTGCTAGAGAACAGATGGCATAGAAACGTATTCTTACTAACTGCTATATGTCTATTTGAAACTTTTAATACTCAATATATAAGCTTCTGTTTTAAGTTTTTTAATACTGTTTTTATACTGTAATTTTATACTGTTTTAATCTAGTGTGATTCTTAAATTTTGTAAATGGTATCTTCTTTTATTGGTCTATGACTGTAAATAAATTTAAAAAATCCTTCCAGTGGGTTTCCATGGCTGAGATGGTCTCCTGGATTCAACACTGAATTTAACACTAGTCCAACACTGAAAACACTACCCCACACTGGGTCTCAAAAACAAGCTACTTCTTGAAAGACACTTTTTACTGCATATTTGCATCTGTATTCCTTTCAAAATGCATATTTGGTGCCTATTTTGACACATTTGAACAGCACTGCCATCTTTAGAGAAGAACAAAATTGGATTACTAAATTCCAATAGCCACACTGGGCCAAGGGGAGGACTAGTTTAGAGATTTTTAAGCCATCTGATATTGAAGGTTTTCCCCAGCATCCTAAGGATCAGCACCATGTTTGTGCCCATTGACAACAACTGTTTCTTTTGATGGCTCAGAGACCAGCGGTGGTCCAGGGACCACCATGTTGACTAGCACTGGATTAGACCATTTCATAGAGGAATTTGCAAAACCTCAAGCATCCATAGAGAACTGGCATTTGTAGTTTTGGTGACAGAAAATTCAAAAACATTTCCTCACCCCAGTGGTCTTGGTTACCATTTGAACATCTGCTTGAGACTACTAACTCTACTGCTGACAAACTGAGAACCATCAACCTATATTATAATAGGAAGGCTTGTGTATTACTTCTCTCTGATCCCTTCCTTCTTGCCTGTATCCATGACTGTCTGCATCAAATAGATTTTAATTTCATATACCAAGCAATATGTGAAATATTTTAAATTTTTGGCATTCCAGTGACACCATTTAGTGAAAAAGAGAGGGAGGGAATAATTTTCAAGGAAATTATTTCGCTGGTGACAAGGGAGAACCAGCGTGATGTAATGGTTTGAGTGCTGGATTATGACTTTGGAGACCAGATTCAACTCCCAGCATAGCCATAAAACTCATTGGGTGACCTTGGACAAGCCACACTCTCTCAGCCTCAGAGGAAGACAATGGCAAACCTCTTCTGAACAAATCTTGCCAAGAAAACCCCATAAGTTGGAAACGACTTGAAGGCACATAACAGCAACAAACAAGGAAATACAGTTGTTGAGCTACACAGAACTCATAGGTACCTTCATAGTACGTTGTGGTTCACTTTCAGAAACCAGGCTGTCCAAGTTGTTGGCTCTAATGTGTGTCAGACTTCCTATGTTATCTACTGAGCCATCCACACTGCAGAAATAATCTGGCTTGAGACTGCTTTAACTGCCGTGGCTCAATGCTACGGAATTCGGGGAAGTGTAGCCGCAACAAACTATACTTCCCAGAATTCCATAGCATTGTGCCACAGCAGTTAAAGCAGGCTCAAACCAGATTATTTTTGTAGTGCAGGTGCAGCCTACATTATGTGGAAGTAGGCTATAGAACCTCAAAAACCCTATAGTTCAATGTATCATAATGGGGCACTTTCTTCCTTTCAGCAAGCTACCATTTTGTGCTTTTATGAGAATGGAAGGCAAGAACAATGGATTAAGGTGGTGCTTTCTGAACCATTGATTTGGTAGGCCTAGGCAGTATCAATTCCTTCTAGTTCATCAGGGGGATCTTAGCCAATTCACTTACCTGGCCTTTGTAATCCAGATCAATATCCTGTAACACTCCGCTTAGGATATCTCCAAAAAAATAAAATGATTTCCCTCGACTCAATTTCAGATGTACTTTCCCCTGCACAGGCTTTCCATACGTGTACCTGTATCAAAAGACAGAATCAGGGAACAAAACAATGTTTCAGGCAAAACAGGTTATATTCATCATAAACTGTATAGGAACAACAATAGTGGGGTGGACGCCACCACAAAATAAAAAGAAGGGACAGAGACACATCCTAAAGAGAAACATTTATTTGTTTTAGAAGAAAAATCTTTACTTCTTTACTGCAAATATAAGAGATCTTTCCTGAGAAAGGTTCTGGTCACAAATTCTAACCTGCATTGTGCCTGAGTGAATTTTGTTTTGGTGGATGATATTTGCAAGAAAAAACTGGAGAAGCTCTTTCTCATAAGAAGAAGACAACTGCTTTGCACCAGCAAGAAGCATCAAAATGCAACTTACAGAATTTCTGAGGCAAAGCAAGGCTTTCTCCAGGTTTTTCTATAAACAAAGGACTTCCAATGACATTCAAATGCAGATGGAAAGATTACTTTATCAGCCAATGTGTGGTAAGTGAGTATACAAATTACAGTGGCCTCATTGCATCTCATATACACATATATAAAAGCAATGGAAAACTAATAATTGAACACTAGGAAACTAATGATTGAACAGCAAGTCTCTTCTTGGGACACAAAAATGAGGGATGCTTTTCATTGGTGATATGTGAAACATGTAAGAGAAAGGGATAAGGTTTTATTTCCATAAAATGTCAGTACGTTCTTCCTAATATTTCAGTGGAATCTCTTTTCCTGTAGCTTGCATCCATTGCTCCGGGTCCTATTTTCTGGAGCAGCAGAAAACAAGCTTGTTCCATCCTCAACATGACACTGCTTCAAATACTTAAATAAGGCTATCATATCACCTCTTAACTGGTTCTTCTCCAAGCTAAACATGGAGAAGAGATGGTTAAGAGGTAAAAGAATTAAAGACAGAACAAGCTTTGCTTTAACATATGCTACCAGTATTTGGGATGTTTCTTCCTGCTCCAATTTAATTCCCCCAAACCTGGGCTGGGTGGTGGTGGATTAGGATACAGTGTTGATGCCCATCTACTCTGTCCTCATTACTGAGGACAAAATGTTGTTTCCCAACAACTGGCATGGTGTAAAAACATATCATAATTTCTTTTACAAACCTTCCAATCACTTTCACCTGGACTTCTTTATCTGCGGTGGTGACAAGTTGTGGCACTTCAAATGATACTTCAAATTTATGAGGCACTGCAATGGAGAAAGAGTAGAAGACACCATTTTGATAGAATGATTCACACTGATTGAAACTAAGCATGCTTCTGATGCAACAAATGGAAAGCAACTACAACAACAACTAAGAGCTGATAAAAGATTAAAAGCTAGGTAGAGATTCAGCCAAATGAAACTGTAGTAGGTCAAATGACGTTTCTATGGAGTTCTGAAATAGATAGCATCCATTATCCCCCAATTTAGATCAGGATGACAGTGGTGTGAATGAGTCAGACCATTCTATCCTCTTGTACCACATTCCTTTTTGAAATTATGTGCCCATCTAAAAACTCTGGGGTTGCTATTTATCCTGTAGAGCCAAACATATGATTACAGATATGTTTAGTTTTACACAGCAAAGGCTTACATTAGAAGAGAAGGGCTGTGATTTGCACATGAAAGGGAAAGGGTCAAGTTAAGTACAGAATATGTGTCCTACTAGTTGCATTTCATCTTTCAAACTTCTTATCCCTGCTCCTGGAGCTTCTTGTGTAATATCATAGACATGGGTCCTGTCTCATGGGTCATCACACATCACACATTTAGAGGATGTGTGCCTGCATATGCACAGTACTGCCAGTTGTATGAGGGAAATAACCATACTAGGAGATTCTGGGAACTGCAGTTTAAAAAGGGAACTTTCCACACTCTATCCAAAAATGAAGCTGTAGATGTATCTTTCTCTGAGACAAAAATATATAGGTTGCTGCTATGTTAGTGACAAAGTCTGGATAGAATTCAGCCTTCTGTGACATTCAATGAGAGGGCCATTATACTGCATTAATAGGCAAGTCTCTTCCATTTATACATAGAGCAACTTTTTATAAACAACATGATGGTCTTCCTTTGAATCTTACCATATTCCTCCACTTGGAATGTTCTCCTCTCTTTGTATCTTTCTCCCAGTTTAATAATATATCTTCCCAGGGTTGCTTCAGAGGCCAGAGGGAAGGACAGATCCACAATACCATGATGAGGCTTCACATCCACCCACTGGCCAATTCGATTTTTATTAGGATCCTATACACAACAATGAAGCCAAAAGAACTGTAAGGCTTGTTGATCTAGTCATCAGAAAAGTTGACATTCCACATGACCTGTTCGACAATACCCATTGGGTGTGTGGGGACATATTGGACAGTAAAATGTCATGATGGCATTAGATATTGCTGTTGTTGTTGCTTGCCTTCAAGTCATTTCTGATTTACGGCAACCCTATCATGGGTGTTTTTTTTTTGCAAGATTTGTTCCAGGAGGATTTGTCTTTGACTTCCTCTGAGGGTCAGCAAGTGTGACTTGTCCAATGTCATCCAGCGGGTCTCCATGGTAGAGTAGGGAATCAAACACATTCCCAGTTTTGCCCACTATTTCTATTTTTTAAAGTTTTGTTTTTACATAGTCCTAATGCTAGAATGATATAAGGTTATGCCACATTAAACCTTCAGTCTGGTAAATGGAACACATCCACCCTCCCCTTCTCACACATTATAGTATTTCTATTTTGTATTTCTAATTTTCTATATTTTCAAAGGTGTTTTTGTATAGTCCTAGTGCTAAAATAATATAAGGCTGTAGAGTGGTCCAGTGGTTTGAGTATTGGACTGTGACTCTGGAGACCATGGTTCAAATCCCAGCTCAGCTAAGAAACCCTACTGGGTGACCCTGGGCAAGTTACACTTTCTCAGTCTCAGAGGATGGCAATGTCAACCCCCCCTTCTGAAGAAACTTGCCATGAAAGCTCCATGATATGTTCACCTTAGGGTCACCATAAGGTGGAAATGACTTGAAGGCACACAACAACAGCAGCAGCAACAACATGTTAGCATTATAACTCTAAAAAGAAAGGAAATTGAAAAACATTCAGTCTGGAAATTGGAAATGTAATGATCTCAGCAGGAAACCTTTGTGGTGAAGGACACAGTCATCTCAAACAGCATCAGGTGTATTGCCCAAAATTGTAGTGGGAAGAACCAATACAATAGATACAGAGATGTTATATTTACTCTAGCCTGTATTGGAAATTCCTGGGGGGGAGGAATCCTACCCTTTGCAGGGAGAATAAAGAGTCGTAGCTCATACTAGAATTTCAGAAGAAGAAAAAAACTAGACAGGAAAAATGGCATATAGGTATTCAAAAGATCCCCAGTAAGTATAGTTGGCCCTCCACATTTGCGGCTTTGACTTTTGCAGAATTGATTATTTGCATATTTGATTAATATGTTCTTTCTAGGTCCTCCAGTGCGACTCTGCCAGAAGTTAACCATAGAGTCCCACTGAAAGACCTAGAAATTCTTAGAGAAAACACTTCTCCAGGCATTTGTGGGTCCTCTAGTGTGGTCCTATAGTCAACTTCTGCCAGATGTTGGACATAGAGGTGTGCTGGAGAAATTAATAATAATAATAATAATAATTATTATTATTATTATTATTATTATTATTATTATTTATATCCCACCCCTCTGCAGAGCAATTGGGGCAGCTTACAACATTAAAGTTTCCATACAGATATATTAAACAGAACATAAAATCCCAAATCCACCCATCCTTTAAGAAGTAAGGGTTCTTCTTATTCTAGGCCCGATGGTATTGGGCCTAGTGTCTCTCCCCCAGATGACATTGGATGGTAATGGAGGGAGGGCCTATTTCCTCCATTTTTTAAAAAAGTGGTTTTTTAATTTGCATTTCACCCCCAATTTCATAGGGGTCATGCACCTCTAACTGCAATGAATGGGGCAGGCCCAGTCTAAGTTTCAAAGCAAAGCAAAGCAGCTTCATTTATATACTGCTTCCTACTGCGCTATGCAGTGTCTAAGCAGTTTACAACTGTAAGCTCATTGCCCCCCAACAGCTGTGTACTCGTTTTAGCGACCTCGGAAGAATGCAGGTCTGAGTCTAGCCTGAGCCCTGGCTAGTATTGAACTCGCAACCTTGTGTCTATGAGTGAGTGGCTGCAGTACAGGCATTTAATCACTGCACCACCAGGGCTCTGCAGAATCCTTTTGGTTGGTCTGGAGGAGACCACAGAAAGCTACTGCAGGCTTTCTTTGAAAAATGTCAGGAAGAGGCTTTTTCTCATGACTGTGGCAAAGAGAGAGAGAATTAAACTTCTCCTCCCCAACAACATGATAGTTATGAGATTGCTTGAGTTTCCTCATCCTTTATTTTTAAACAAATTTAAAATGCGCACCTTAGTGGCGTTTGCATGATTAACCTCATGTCTAGGTTGGCATGGTAAACCTTTTGGTCTGATTCAGTAAGATAAAAGGTGTGTGTTCTTATGACACTTCTTATGTTAGTTAGTTTGGGGGTGAATACATTTGGCCGGTTTCCAATTATTTCTTTACCATCATGCAGACCTAACCATTTGTTGAAGCAATGGAATGAAACTGGAGTAAATTTTCCCACAGCACTCTTTTCCAGGATTTCTGCTGAAGTACAGATGCGTGCTGAAATTCTCCCCACAACTTGATAGGATAAGTGACTGTTGACAATCAGCTTATCAAGTATGTACATTTTAGTAAATGTTTCATAAATGAAAGCATTCTGCTCAGTCCCCAAATTTTCACCCCATATTCAAGGACTAGTGATTGTGTGTGTGTATGTGTGTGCAACTGAAAGAATTGGAGTAAGAAGGGGTGCCATGAGATATCAAAATACACAAGAATGCCACCAGGTACCAGACTGCAAGGGGGAAAAAGATATATAAATCAGAATTAATCAAGATGTTGGATAGGAGCTGTATTAATATAGTAAATATCTGGTAATACACAAGTAAGCAGACAGCAATTACACACATATTAACAACACATGTTGAAGGTGAAACAAAACAATTGGTTGCATAACAATAACATATATTCAAGATGTGTAATGCCTGACTAAGTTCACATATGTAAAAGGCATATACAACTAATTAGAAGCATAACAATCAATTGCAAAGCAATGAAACATATTATACATATGTACAGTGGGCCCTTGGTATCTGCTGGGGTTTGGTTCAAGGACCCATGCGGATACCAAAATCCGTGGATGCTCAAGTCCCATTAAACATAATGGCATAATAAAATCGTGTCCCTTATATATATGAAAAAGCAAAATAAAGGTTTGCTTTTTTGAATTTATATATTTTTGGAATATTTTCAAACTGCGGATAGTTGAATCCGTGGATAAAGAATCCATGGATATGGAGGGCTGATTGTATATGGCTTGACTGAAGCTTGACAGGTGTAATTAGCTGTTGTATATGCCTTTTATATAAGTGAACTTCAGTCAAGCCTTATACATCTTCAATATATGCTACTGTTATGCATCTAATTGTTTTGTTTCACCTTCAATAAGTGTTATTGATATGTATGTGATTGTTGTGTGCTCACTTGTGTATTACTGGATATTTACTGTGTTAATACAGATCCTATTCAAATTCATTCAGATTAGTATATCTTTTTGTGTGTATGCAATTGAAGCCAATTGCTAATCTGGTAAATCACATTGGAGCCCCTTAGAATTATACTTAACCTCATCATTTCCAGTGCCATCCCAAAATTATAGTTCTCAGAACTGCAAATATGTCTGCAATGCTATATGTTTGTAGTGTAAGCACATACTTGTTTGCAATGTAAGCACATCCTAAAGACTGTTCAGGTAGTCTAAAAGGACAAAATGAACACAAAAAGTAAATGTCAAAAGGGTCATTTACTCACTATTAGCTGTATCAAAGGGATCTGCAAATGGAAAAGGGGAGGGGAAGAGATGAATCAGCATCATAAGGAACAGAACAATCTTCACTTTTTTCTGCATTCTGCAAAACCAGTCAAGGTATGACAGCAATGGCAAACTGCTCTGTGGAGTTTATCAGACAGGGACCTATGTGCTTCCATCCCAAAAATAGTTAAAATGTCTGCATCCCGGAAAAGCACGCAAATGCATGAATGATTTTCACACAGAGAGCACAACAATGTGCTAAAAGCACATTACTAATGTGAGAAAGCACATTTGGTTTTCACACAGATGTGGACAAATCCCATTGATGGTTTGGAAATAACTTTTTTGTGCATGCGCACAGAAGCAGTAGTTGCATTACCAGAAATCACACAGAGAAATAAACAATTTTATTTACACAATATTCTTTATAAAAATATACTGTTGTGCCCTTACTTTTCAAGAAATGGTACCCAATCTGAGTAAAAAGAACAGAATGTTACCCAAAAGAAGTAGGAAAGGAAAGAGAAAACTTCTCTCTTGCTCTCTCTGTGTCCCTGCCTTCCCTCACCAGCTGATCCTTTCAGAGCCCCTGCTAATGGGGAAAGCTGGAGGAGGAGAGAGAGCCATGAGAGGGAGAGAAGCAAGCTGTTTCTGTGTCTGTGTGTGTGTATGTGCGCCTGCTGATCCTTTAAGAGCTCTGGCTGAAGCATAAAAGGCTGCACCCCTCTCATGCCTCTTGGCACAACAAAGCACAGAAAAGCAGCAAAGAACCATGGGAAATCTGGCAACAAGCACAAAAACTGGGAGAATACCACAAATAGCCTTCACACTACAGCAATTATGCAAAGAAAGCAAATTCGTGAATGAAATGGAACTGGAACTGGAAATGAAAATATGGTATTTTCCTGAAAATTACTATTTCCTGATTCATGTCACTTTCTGTTCGGATTCTAAGCGATGTCGTGTGAAAACCATTCATGCAATTGTGTCTAATATGCTGAATAACCACATCTTCTGACCTGTTTAAACTTCCAATTTCCCCATGTGATAAACTCCTACATCCCACTATCTCTCCACTGTTGTTAACGGTACAAGGGAACAACTGTAAACCATTGGTGGACCATAGAGGGGAGAGAGGCCTTTCAACTACGTCCTTCACAAAGCAAAAACCATCACCACTAAGGTAGCAAGGTTAGGACAGCTCACCTTTTCCCATTTCCCATTTTTTGCTGAGACACCCTTGCTTGGAGCAACCTAGCTGAAAGTATACTTCTCCTCTGTCCTTCTGTAGTGGCTGCATAGCAAAATCAACCTGCAAAACTGTTTCACTGTGCTTGTCTACACCTCTTGAGTTCTTCTCTGCCCCAGAAATCTCTGGGAGGGCCTCTGGACTCTCCTTCTGGACTCTCTCATTAGGGCACCAGGTGCTGGTTTTCCTATCATAGTGCCTCAAGAATGGGGAAAACTGCTTCTGGGAAGATTTTCCTTTTTACATAATTCTTAAAGATGCAGGAGCCTTTAAAGCATTGATTTCCAAACTTTACTCCTCCAGAATTCAAAAATATAGCTATGTTAGTCTGTAAAATCAGTTTGCAGAGAGATCTTGCAGCATCTTTGAGACTAAGGGGCTGTACAGACCAGCCACAAGGCTCCCATATCGTCCACACTCTGCCCACCCAAACAGATGGCGGGAGGTGTCAGGGCACTCCCTTGGTGCAGCATTCATACATGATGCGCCAAAGGAATGCTGAAAAGCCACCACCACAGTGGCAAGGGCAGCTTTTTGCCACTCTAAAAAGGAGTGGCATTTGCCAGCCCTTTTTAGAGCGGCAAAGTACCTGATCGGGGCACAGCGTGCGGTTGCCATGGCCCCGATCCGGCAAGGAAAGGGGCCATCTGTACAGCCCCTTAAACTTTGGATATTGGCACAATTCTATCACAAAG